TTTCTATCTCTCTCTCTCTCTCCCGCCTTGTTCTCTTTCCGCCGATCCGCTTTAAGAAATAACGCCGACTTGTGGTCCTTCTAAAAGTGAAACTTCGTAAACGCGACGCAGAGCTGCAACGACTGAAAATATTTCCCGACGGCAGTCTATTAAAAAGTTCAGTTACGCGCGCTTCTCGCGAACTTTACGAGCGCGATAGTCGCTGCGGAACTCCGACGGCGACTCCCGCTGAATTTCTCGTCCTCGCGCACGTTTCGGAATCTTTAGCGTGCCTCCGCTGTTTCGCGAATTCTCTCCCCGTTCGCGAGGCGTCTCACGCGCCCGGCGTCGCGAGACCGGCGTCGCCCCGCGCGTTCCTCGAACGCCGCCGTTTCGCAGGTACTGTCCCCGTCATCTAATTAAATCTAACACATCGAGTTACGCAGAGATAATATTTTCTAGCTTAATTACGGTACTATACGGCTGTAAGTCTTTAGATACGGAAGCATATGCATCGGACGTGAGTGTATCTGTGTGTACGTGTCATGTATTTATGTGTGTGTATGTGTGTATGTCGTACATCTACCCAAAGTGATTCGTCTGGAATTGGATACTGTGGATCAAGTCTATGAGTTGCCTACCCTGTTTTATCTAGGAGAATCATAACGCAGGAGCTATGAAAAACGCAAGTTACTAAGTGTGTTGTTCACAGAAAAATGAGCGAGGAGCGCAAATCGGCTACACGGTGAAAAGTTTTGTGTTAAATTCAAGACATTTCATACGTCCCAAACGAACCGCACAAATTTTTGTGTTAATTTAATGCAAGGTGAATATGTTGAAAAATGGCAGAAACATTATGTCAGAAATTAACATAAAATTAGTATCCATAATATATTAATCGGCAAAAAGGAATATAAAATGTATTATTTTAACGCTTACGAATATTATTTTTAATATTTACACATGTTGAATATTGACTCGACACAAGATATATTGAGGTAACATAAACACAGTATGTTAAATTAACATACGTATTTTAACGCAAGTACAAAATATTTTCTACTGTGTACGCAGCTGTTCTTTTTTTTTCGCAGCCATTAATACATACATTTTGCGATACCTTGTACATAGCTGCTGTTATGACGCTCTTAGATAAAATAGTATAGCGATTCGTAGACTTGACCTACTGTATCTAGATTGGGACGAATCACCTTAGATGGGTGTACATGCGGTTCTTCGCGCGCGACGTAACCGCGCGGCTGTGTCCGTTCGATTGCGAAATTTTTGCGCAACCGGGACGCGGCGGTGTACGTAACGCGACAGATCCTCCCGAGATTACGAAGTAGCAGTTTATGCGCGTCTGTCAACGAGAACAAGGAGAAATGTTTCAGCTGCGAGCTATTCGAGACCGGTCGTAGTAATATTCCCCGTCGCACCGTCGTGTATATACACCCGCGAATTAATCACACCGTGGCACACGGATCTATTTTCTCTCCCATTTTGCTCTCTCTTTTTCTCTCTCTCTCTCCAGAGAGAGACACGAGGCGAGATAGAAGTGGAATCTAATTTGCGCAAAGAAACGCACGAGACGGTCGCGGAACAATCTTGTCGATAACTCATCGAGGACTATAATAGTTCTCGAAGGGCGGAGGGAGGATGATGAGTGCGCGGTAACGTAAATTTAGAGGATTGACCGAAGCAACGCGGGTGTGTACATAGACGACGCGTTAATGACCTATCATCCACGATATAATTCTATTATGTTACCGTGGTACAATGTATACTAACCGTCGCTACAATGACGACGTACAATAACGGTCATTAGTCATATCGTTCTCCGCATTACATAGCAGCCGCATTGACGTACGATGAGAATCGTAGAAAGTTGCGTAACGCATCGTATGTGGTGTGTATGTGTGTGTGTGTGTGTGTAGCGTATGCATCGACGAACTTCTCCGACACGACGAGACGCGTCGTCGCCGCGTTTTCCGCGAATCTGCAACGACCGGCACGAATGTCATCGAAAGGATTCATCGATTTTTCCTCGTAGGAAATGCCCCGGTGTATGTGTGCACGCGTGTGTGTGTGTGTGTGTCTCTCGGAAGAAAATCCACGAGCGAAATTCCCGTGGAAGCGCCGGGTCGCTTCGCGAGGGAGCGAGTAAAACGGTAAAAAGGTACAAGCTGCGAAGATATTGTCGGCGTAATACTGTCTCACGTGACGGCGGGCCTTTTACGACGCGAGGTATCGATTTTTCCGCGTTCACGCGCGATTGAATGGAATATATTGCCCCGCGGTGTATCTCGCCGCATCAATGAGCGCATCCCTGGATATGGCATTAATAACCAACGGGACAATGTCGACGCGAGCGTCGTCGGTATTTTTCTCCTATGTGTGAGTGTATGCGTGTGTGCTTTTTTTGCTTCCTTTTTCTACCCTCTTTCTTTTTTTTTTTTTTTTAAGTCCCTGTACTTTTCGACGGAGAGGCGCGTCGACCCGCTAATGAACAAGGACGACGATCTAAGAGACGACCGCGACGCGCATCGGCGCGTTGTGTACACCGGCCGGCAATGATCTTGACACCTGCTACACAGAAAAGAAATAGCCTTATATATATGTAAGCCAATGATAGATATTCTCGCGTATAAGCCAAGATGTTATAATAATAGAAGATTTTTAGTCTTGAATCGAGTGCAAGTAATACTTGTATCGATACAAATTCAATCAAATCAAGAGTAAAAAAATCCTACGAGAAGATTATAATACTCTTACTTATACATGAGAATATCTATTTTCAATTAAAGACTAATTTTTTTTCTATCTAGATATAAGGCCAGTGGAAATTCTCGATCACGCGCATCGTGATTTGGACACTCCGTGCATCATGACCGTTCATCATTCGAGGGAACAGCAGCGTCATTCCGAATATATATGATTTAGGCAAAGTAGTATTTGCAGCATAAAATTATAAAAAGTTCTAGTGACTCCGTACCTCGTAAATGTTAAGAGATCATTGCCGGTCTGTGTAGACCTGCGAGAGCGTTATGTCGTAGACTCGACGTCGAGTCAAAGCTCGGACAGTTGATTCGGGCCGAGTCGTATCCAGAAACGTTGCAAAATTGACTGGGTGGTGTGTACGTCGTGTTCGCGCGGGTGATAAGAGGACGCGCGAGCGGAACAATGGCGGATGGAGGTGTCCATCGTCGATATCCTATTATGTCAGGAACTGAGAGAGAGATGGACCTCTTCCTATAACCGTGTACCGCGTGTCTATTGTTCGCGCTGCGCGCTCGCACGTCGAGAATCGCGCGAGATGTGTTTATCGACGATTAGTTCCCGTCGGATTTCCGTGTTTCTCTCTCTCTCTCTCTCTCTCTCCCTTTCACGCTTGTCTATCCAACTCTCCTACGCGAGTGGAACACGACTCGTCGTCGCTAATAGCTGAGCGACCGAAAAACGCGTGTTTCGCAGCGACTTGCGATGATACAGCACCGTGTGCGTTTTGCTGCAATGCGCTCTCTCTCTCTCTCTCTCTCTCTCTTTTTCTCTCTTTAGTACGGCGGCCGGAAATATGCCGGCCATTCGCCGACGAGCAATTTCCATTTAGGTCGTTTCCACGTCTATTTTCTTCTCTCTCTCTCTCTCTTTCTCTCACGATGAACGTCGACTCGCGTGTTCGACGAGTGTTCTCGGAGTGTGTGGTGTCTTCGCGGGCGTTCTCGGGAGCGATGGGTTTTCGATGTATGACGAAATGCGAGTTCCTCCGCGGTGTCTGCGCGACGCGCGTTTCTTATCGCTATAATGTGACTTGTCGTTTATGCCCTTTGTGTTTTCTCAGGTAGCGCTCGACGAATAATCGCGATAACGAAGGTAACCAAGGCCTACCAAGAGAGGTGACCCGTGCTATTCGCAAGAAGGGTTCCGTCGAGCGGTCGCGACGCGTCTTCTCACGCGGCTCGCGTATTCTCACAACACCGGTCCGCGTCGCGCCGACACCAGCTGATATTAACATTAACAATGACTACCTTATAAAGCGTACATCTATGAATAAAGCGTCAAGTCTAATTACGTCTAAAACGCCTATTAAATGAGCCGCCCTTCTCGCAGTGTCTACGCGGGGATTATCCGGCGTGGGTTTCTTCATCTCGATCGCGCCGGATCGATCGCACGCGGAATCTTCGGGGGAGCGACGTATCTCTCGCCCCGTCTTTAGAAATATTGCTTGGCCAAGCGTTAGTGGTGTTACGCGTAAATTGACTAGTACCGTTTGTAATCGTGCGTTTCAGACGAACGATAGACGCGGGCTTTCTCCGCCTGTCGAAACAACCTTGGTGATGAAAAAGAGGACGTACAACTGTCGCCGGCCCTCCTTCGGACAGCAAAGCTTGACTTCCACTCTCTCACTCTCTCTCTCTCTCTCTCGGTGTATCGCATACAATATTGACTGAGTATACATGCCACTTGGTGGCACGGCCTTAACCTTAACGCGGAATATATCTTTAAATTCGCAGCGGTATCGCCCCCGCTTTACAGTCAGTCGACGTACAGCGCACTCGACACTCGAGGTACGTGCCTACAATGAATTCGTGGCACGCGAGAAATCAATTGTCGTGAATTTTACGCCAATCGTCAAACCTGTCCGCGCACGGAAGCGCCGTCGGCCGTTCACCGGTGAGAGGGTAGAAGGGCTGCTTCCGTGACGCGGCGTCGGCGACGCTT